AAACTAGAAGAGGATGCAGGTGGAAATCACAGACCTTAATATGAATATGAATATGAATCCCGGAGGCTTCATATTTCCATCTACAAATTGGGCTGTTGACATCACTCTTAACCACTCCTTCTGAGACTAAGTGAGCAAGCAGGTGTACGTATTTCACGTAGCACCATGCCTGTCAAAAGTAGGTGCTTAATCAGTGTGAGTTTCTGCCTTCCCACTGTGTGAGCCCTCAGCTGTACACTTAGTAAGTTGGAGACTTCTATTGCCTTCCCCTTTAGTGTTCATGTCTCCAGGGTAAATGGACTCAGTTTACATCCGCAAATGTTCCTTGAGCTACTTGTGTACTCTTCACTTTGCTATGGGAGAGGAGATTTCTGAGTCAGTGATCCCCTAGTTATTGCCAAATGGGAAAAGAATCCATCCCTCCCTCCTTGCCAAGAGCTGGGGTTCTGCCATCAGAACACTGCATGTTTTAAGTTGAGTGTTCACATAATGGGGTCTGCCTGCATAAATAGAAACATCCTTTTTACTAGTCATCAAGTTTTCTCTTCAAGAACTATTACACATTTCACAAATCCAAGGGGACAGGCTCAGCTAGATAAGAGCCTGCCAGCTCTAGCTCTGGCTGTATCTCTTGACAGCTGGATTGGCGCGGTGGAATCCGTGGTTTCCCCCAGAAATGCTTAGGAAGACCAGAGGGAACAGCTGCTCTGTACCTTGGCAGAGCTGGAGGTGGTTGGTCTTGTGAATGAGGTTTTTCGATTAAGGACCTAGCTCAAAATGGGATATTAAAGGTTTGATTTTTGTTTTTCCCCCAGTACAACATGCTATCAGCTCAAGAGATTTAGGAATATTAAACACTCCCTCTCAGCTTCAAGATGACAGTTGATAAACATCACCATAAAATACTGAAATCAACAAAGGATGGGAGGAGAAATTTGAGCCCTGGGAGATTAATAAATGATGAGGAATGAATGCAGTCAAACCACACATCCCCAGTAGGGCCCATTACTTGGGCTCCTGCATAAAAGCCAGAGAGGCAAGCATGGCTCCTGTAATTCTGTTAACACTAATGACTAGTCCTTAAATGCTCTCAGATGTATACAACAGGGATATTTGTATTCTCTTAGCAAGCAAAGTGTTGTTCCAGAACTGTGGACAGTGGTTTTGTTTGGGAAATTGGGTAATCTAATCACTAGCTCTGTCAACTGCCTTTGCACTTACTCCCTGGGAAGGCCTTCTGTATGGTGTGGAGCTATGGTTCTCAGCCTGCATCATCCGGAGCCCTCGGGTTCCATGGAAGATCTTTTGCGGGCAGCCAGGTGGGGGCAGCTGGGTGAGCCTCTAGGCCCTCTCCACCTGCTCCAGTAAGAGCAGCTCCACCCTTACCTGCTCTGTATTTTAGAGAACATGGAAGATTCTGTTTGAAATGAAAGAGTTTTGGGTTTGCTTTTGTTTTTGCTTTCTGCTTCAAAACAGAGACTTGAAACTCAATGGTGCCATGATGTTTGCAACCTTTTGCAAGTTACTTTACCACTCACTGATATGTTTCTAAAATGTAACCATGTTAACATACATAGGTAGAGTTCAATCACTGTATAAATAAACCACAATATATTCATTTTCCTCTCATGGATATTTAGATGATTCCCCCTTTTTCATTTTTTTTCTGTTTGAAATGATGCTTCAGAGAAGTTGAGGGCATTTTTTTATATCAACAGTGAGGGGTGGTGAGCTCCGAGCTGGCCAAGAAGGGAAGGGGACAACAGGAGGGGGCAGATGGATAGTGAGAAGGATGTGATGGATAGTCAGTGGATAGAGGACTAGAAATTGCATGGACTTGATTGTGGCAGGACATGATAGAGCCAGGGGGTGGGAGGCAGTCTGTGAGCTGCGTGGTCCAGAGGTAGCACAGAATAAGCTGTGATAAGGCCCCAAGAGTGATGAAGGACACAATCTGGTGTGTAGAAAACATTTAAAAATTAAGGTAAATTGAATAGGACTGCATTAAATTAAACTGAATTTAATTTTACTGAGTCAATGAGATGCTAATCTTGCACAATTTAAACATCATGGTTCCCCTTTCCTGCCCACTATTCCCTCAATGTTAAACCAGCATATGATTTTTAGAAGCTTCATGAACATCAAATATAAATTAGATCAGGGATTGAGTTTCTGAAAAATGAATAATAAATGTTTGCTTCTATTAGTATCTCACAGAAAAATATTGAGGTTATGAAAATTTTTCTGAAATTTAGACCCCCTTAAGCTCTCAGGATCCACTTTCTTGATATTGTGAGCATTTTGCTCTTGGAAGATTTTGCTTCCTGCCTCCAAAGGCAAAAGGTGACCTACAGAACTTTCAGAACGTGTAATTATTCATTTGAAAATAATTTTGATAGATACCTATCTTTGACGTTGCCTTGAATTATAATACTGAGTGGAAAACAAATACAAAATCTTTTTAAACTTGAATTTGGGTTTTAATAAATCTAAAGTACTGTGTGTTAAAAGTCTCTGTAACATTATGAGTTAAATGTTTTCTGGCATTGCTGGGTGCCCTCCTCAGTGGTTGATTGTGGAGATAGTTAACCAGGGAAAACACCGAATAAACAGGATTCAGTTTGCATTTGGGGTGGGGCAGGCTTTTCCTCTCTCTTTTGTCCTCTCTGCAAACTCTGAACATGTGATGCTTTGATTCTATCCCTGTGGCTCCAATTGTCTTTACTTTTTGGAGTGAGCATTATTTGAAAAGTGCTTTCCAGTCAAAGCTTCAGGCCAAATTGAGGATAATGACTAATTGGGAGGTCACCAAAATTACTTGTTCAATTTATTTATGTCCTATAATAATAAAAGTAGTTTTAAGATAAAGGATATTCTTAACATTTATGAATATGAAATTCTGGTTTTTCTAACACAATAATTAAAGTTATTACCAGCAATCTTGATTTGGAGTAGCCCCTGTCATAAAAAGTCTAGAGCAAGTAACTCAGTTAATTTTAACATATGACAAATGAGGTGACAGTCTCGCATCTACCCTGATTATCAACTCAGAAATGGTGTTCAGCTGATCATGAGAGGACCGTCTCTATGACTTTGACCTCACTGCTTGGTCTGGACTAGAAAGTTCTAATGGTGTGGCTTTATCTCCTAGACCAGCTCCCCAGGACTAATCTTAGCTCCTAGAGGCTGAATGAATCAGTTCTCTGGGGGAGTGTGCTGACATCAATTGGTGGTGTCTGCCACCAGGGGTCCAGGTGGGAGAAAAAACAAATCTGAAGTCTGAGTATCAAGGTCAGAGTCTTACCTCCATCCTTTATTAGCTGTGAGTGATCTTGGGCAAGTCACCCTTTCTGCAACCTCAGCTTTCTCATCTACAAAACATGGATAGCAAAAGTTGTTAAGAAAATTAAAATTGAGGGGCGCCTGGGCAGCTCAGTGATTAAGCCTCTGCCTTCCACCTAGGTCATGATCTGTCCTGGGATGGAGCCCCTCCAGCCCTTGCAATGAGATCCACACTCAGCAGGAAGTCTGCTTCTCCCTCTGCTCCTTCCCCTGATCCTGCTCTCTTTCTCTCTCTTTCTCTCTTTTTTTTCTTGCTCTCTCTCTCTCAAAGAAATAAATAAAAGCTTTTTTTTTTTTTTTTAAAAAAAAAGGAGGGAATTAAAATCGATACTACAAGTGAAAAAGGAATCTTAGTTACTACTAGTATGTCTTGCCTGTCCCAATCTGGCATTTCTCCTTAAAAATTCACAGTACTCTAGTACAATTAATTGGGAACTACCTACCATCTCGAATTAGTGCATTTTCACTAAAGTCATGGGGCCTTTTCTTGCTGCCCACACTCTGCTCCTGGCCTCTCCTGCCCTAGGTGATCGGTCATTATGTGTTTATTGAATGAATATAACCTTATTACTTATAGCATTTTTAAAAACTTAAATGTCAACAGTCAAATGAGTATATATCTTCTTGTATATTGTATACTTATATATTTCTCAACATATATTTATTTTCTCTTTTATTTGATATCTTTTTATTTGGAGAAACGTATTTTGTATTCTTTTTGAGAGGATTATCATTATTTTATATTCTTGGGATCATAGGCTTTATTTTTTTCTCTTAAATAATTTTAAATTGGGCTTTATTTTCAAGGAATTGAGCTGTTTTCTCTGCTCAGGCAGCCCCATGGGCCAGTTTGAAGAGGATGCAGGCCAATTGTCTTGCTGGATCAGGCACTGAAGAGGCTGCTAATACCTTCACTGAGTCCCCCTTCTGAGCTGAGGGCAGGCAGGGGGCTGTGCTTGCTCACCTCCTCTGCACAGCACTGGCACTCCATAACCCATCTCCTTTCTTCCTGAAACCTTTCTCCCAGCTTCCTCATATCCCCTCGGCTGATACCACACTCAGGAGTAGACTTTTAAATGATATACTTAGGGAAGAGCCCTGCTCACAGCTTCAAACCATCTGGACTCAGCCTTTCTTTCTCTACTTCACAATGCTTTTAAAATCCAGGTCTGGGGGTGGCCCAGCGGTTTAGCACCGCCTGTGGTGGTGTGGTCCTGGGGACCGGGGATTGAGTCCCATGTTGGGCTCCCTGCATGGAGCCTGCTTCTCCCTCTGCCTGTGTCTCTGCCCCCCCCCCCATGTCTGTCATGAATAAATAAATAAAATTTTTTTAAAAAATCCAGGTCTGGGGCGCCTGGGTGGCTCAGTCAGCTAAGCACCTGCCTTCAGCTCAAATCATAATCCCAGGGTCCTGGGATCTAGCCCCACATCATTTCCCAGCTCAGTGGAGAGTCTGCTGCTCCTTTCTCTCTCTCTCTCTCTCTCTCTCTCTCTCTCTCTCTCTCTCTCTCAAATAATCTTAAAAAATAAAATCCAGGTTCCTAAGAATCATCTAGCTAGCTAGGAAGTTCCTTGGCTTTCTGCTTATCACTGCAAAAACAGTTAGTTCCCTGTTGCTGCCGCCAACACAGACATGTTTCTTCTTTCCTTGATGACAGGCACATCTCATCGTGCTAAGCAAAAACCCCTCTCAAGAGGAGGCAGCAGTCTCCGCACATTTTGTCGCCCACGCTTCCATCGCTTCTGGGAGACCCGAGCACCATGGTGAGTGCAAAGCCTGTGGGCGTCCCTTGCTGCCTGCTTTCTGCCTGTCCTGCAGGCATGCTGCTGGGCCTGTAAACCAGCTGCCTTTAGGAGGGGTGAGCAGGTGGCCTGAGCTGTGACATCGCGATCCTTTGCCGAGCTTTGGTGGCTTTACATGGCCATACGTAGCTGTGCCACTGTGTTAGCTTCACCAGTGGCCTTTGGCTTCTGTCCTATTCGGCCTTTCTCTAATCTTTTACTTTGAAATAAAGTGAATCTTCATCCAAACGGAGCTGTTAAGAGCCCCAGAGAATCTATGATGGGATTACAGGGAAATCTGCTCTGCTTTCAAAGGTGATCTATTTTTAAAAATTGTTGTGGCGCTACTGTGGCAACAGACCTGACTTGTCAGAATCCCAGCCCACAGACTTTCACAGGACTGAGTTTTCCATCAGCGTGAACTTACATGGTTCTGGGAGTCCAAGAGGAAGCTGCCATTTATGACTCATATGGTTTTTCTTAGCCCCATGGAATAGGTAGAGCAGTGAGCCTGGGGAGTTCTTTAATCCAGCATTCTGGACACAGAGCATACAGTGTGCCTCTGTTGATGGATAACACATATTCCAGTGACTTTTTTTTATCAGAATATTCAGAAACAGTATAACTCATCATCCAGAAGACTAAGGGGTGTATTCCAATAAGATGAAAATAATCATGTACTGTAATAAAATAAGATCCAATGTGCCAACAGGCCTAAAATTGAGATCCAGAATAGTTGGGGTCCAGGAAGCAAGAATTGGGCTAGGATATAGAGGCTGGCGGGCAGGCAAGGATGAAGGGGCACCTCTGTGAGCAGCCTGGTCTGCACAGATCCCAGGGCCAGGCAGGGGCTCCAGTCCAGGGAGGAGCTGGTGGAGTGTATATTGAGGTTTACCCATCTTGTCCATCCTGCCTTACAGACTCCTCATTCTGGTCTCCTGGAGCTTTGAGGACCTTTTTAGAGCAGCCTATCTAGGAATAGAGCGAGAAGGCAGGCAAACTTTCGGATTCTCTCTCTCTGAAATACTCCATATAAAACAATCGACTTCAGAACCTTCCAAGAGCCGGCAGGTCTTTTTAACCAGGTTATTGGTACTGAAAATTACTTTAATAAGGAATTAATAGGGAAGAACCTTCCATTGCCAATAATTAAGACAGTTAAGATGCCAACACATGTCTGACGGAAATCTGACTAGCAGAAGTCACAAATCTACGTGTCTCTCAGAACCACAGAAGCAGTGTGACACAGATAGTCTTGACAGTACAGTAGGAGCAGCAAGCGCAATTGGAAATGGCAGCTATTGTTGGTTGTAACATAAGAGAGACAATACAGAGCACTGAGGACTGTAGCAAACTGCAGAGGCCATGCCCTGTTAAGTGAGCAGTGATCTCTGGGCTCTAGCCTATCACTGTCACTTCTTTCAAGAGAAGGCAAAAATCTAGATTTTTATGTATAATTGATGGTAACTAACTCAAATATGTTTCTGGCTCTGAGTGTGGCAAAACAAGCGTGAGGGTCAGACGTGTAATGTCTGACCTGGACAGCAGGTGTGTAATGTGCTTGTCAGATCCTTCCTGCCATCCTCTGGGGCTCGTGGGTTCAAGACAACTGGAGGGTTCTGAGCATTTAAACTGGTGGAGTGGGGATGGGGAAGTCTTGGGTGAAGTCTCAGAAAGAGAATACCAAACAGCTAGAGGAGACCAAGGCCCAAAGACCCTCTATGCCTGGAAGGATTCCAGCTTGCCAGCATCTCAGCTAGTTAATAAATGGATGGATTGGGTCAGGTCCAGTAGAACTTGTGTCCTGAAATGTTTTTTCCCTCTAGCTGCAAAGTTAGGCCACTCTGCTTTGCATGATTCACAGAAGCAGATAATCCATATTTTTTTTTACATTTTTTAGTCTAAATATAGTGTATTGTAACTGAGAATGACAGTAGTAACAAGATCTTTGAGAATTCAGTGACCTCACACAGGAATAGTAATAGTAACAGCTAATGCTTTCCTGGTGTATTCTGGTATGGTTCTAACCAGTTACATCTGTTAAATCAATTAATCCCCACAGTATTTCCCTGAGATTGGTGTAAGTACTTCCAGTTTCTGGTGGAGAAACTGAGGCACAGAGATATGTAATTTCCCCAAGGGCGCATAGCCAGGGAGTAACAGGTTTGAACCTAGACGTTTTTTTAAAGATTTTATTTATTTATTTATTTATTTATTTATTTATTTATTTATTTATTTATTTATTTATTTATTCATGAGAGGCACAGAAAGAGAGGCAGGGACATAGGCAGAGGGAGAATTAGGATACCTGTGGGGAACCTGATGCGGGACTCAATCCCAGGACCCTGGGATCACGACCTGAGCCAAAGGCAGATGCTTAACCACTGAGCCACTCAGGTGCCCCTGAACCCAGGCTCTTGACTTTATATTATATTAAAAGGGCTGCACATGCCCCTTCTCCTTCCTTGCTTGCCTCCCTTTAGGCCTGCTTAGGAGTCTGTGGCATTTGGGACAGAGGAAGGACATGAGAAGAGCGGAGGCAGCCCAGAGAGATGGGTGGGGGCCAGTCTAGGAGCATGCACAGGGTCTCAGCTCCCCTTCTGCCTTTGGTGGCCTGAACCCCACAAGCTGACTTGCCAGTCAGAATTTGAACTATAGGAGGAGTGTAGAGATGGAAGAAAACTTTCACCAGGAGCGTGGAGCTGCAATTGGCTTTAGACTAGGGAAGGGGGGGTCACTTCTGCCGAGTGGACTGGTTGCTAGAAATGTAGGTAGCAGGAATCATGGTAAGATCATGTTAACGGTGACAATAGTAGCAGGAGTCAAGCTGGCCCTGTATGTAGGTGCTAGAAGTCTTATGCATGTGCTCATTTAATCCTTTCAACAACTTAAAGGCAGGACATGACCTCCCACTTTACAAGTGAGCTAACACAGCCCACTCTCCCTACCTGCCACTTCGGTCAAACTATATTGTCTACTCACTGCTCTGCCCAAAAAAGGACACAGTCCCCATGAGTCCATAGGATGTCTAGACAAGCCCTTCTCAGGCTCAGCTTCTATGAATCAGAAAACACATGAAATGGCTATCACCCTGGTGCCATCAGGAAGAAAATTTACTGAAGCCTTAAAGGCAAGTCAGCGCTAAGTGAAACTGGGCAGTGAAACTAGATCACAACAGCTGCTTGCTGGGCAGCAGCATGAAGCCCTGGAGCAAGTGCAAAGGGCAGCACAGCCCTTGTCCCCAAGGCCTCAAACCGACCATCAAAATGGGCACGACAGAAACAAACACAGGCAAAGAGAATCCCCCCACCCAACTCTTCCCACTGTGTGAACCAGATTGAAAACCATATGTATCAGAATCCTGGTTCCCTTGATGGCAATTATAGGAAAGGCTATGGAAAATCGACTGCTCCTCCAGCATTTTAAGATACAGAGATTGTTCTGGCTCTTACCCACAGTGCCTGAATGTGGTGCGGGCTGAGAAGACCCATGTTCCAAGCATAAAATTAGTGTGCCTCTGGAAGCAGGAACGAGGGCCTCACCCAGGCAGGCGCATCCCCATTGTGGGAGGCTTGCAGGGAGCCTGGTGTTTCATGTCCTCCCTCTGTTACCTCCTCACAGGCCTATGCCCCCTCAGCAGGAACAAAAGAAGCCCACCCACGGCTGGGGGGCTCTCTAGGCTAGGCCTCTGCTGCCTCTAGCAAGGGGGAATTAGAGGGGGGAGTTTGGAACTTATCTTTGACAACTAAAGGGAGGCCACCCCCTCAAACACATACACATGCACACACTAGTTGGCTTTCACCCAGGATGGCAGAACTATGACCTGGACTTTTAGTCACTAAGTTCAGAAATCACAGCCAGATCCCCTGGGAGCAAATCTGCATGTTTCACCAAATGCCCAGGAAATCCAAGTGCATAAGGACCTCAGCTCAGTTTCCCTGTTCTTAAACCTGTCTATGCAGAGTACAGATTTTTTTTTTTAAAGAATCTTTAATGAGAAAAGTTGTTCATTTGGGGATTCTCCGTAGCCTGCTTGCTAAATGCCCATTGAAGGCATCGCCCTCTGACAAATGAAGTGTCTCTGGTCAAGAAGCTGGCGTGTTTCAGGCTCTATGCTCAAGCTAATCCCTTTGCTCTGTGCCTTTCCTGCATTCCTTATGCAGACAAAACTGCCCTAGAAGTCACGAAGGATTGTGATTGCATAAGGACTTCCAATTCAGGCGCCTGGAATGTCACTAACCTGAGCCTGGCCTGCATCCCGGAGCAGCCATAGACAAACTTGGTATTAACAGCTCTCCCAACCCTGCTAAGTGTTGAGGGCATTGGCCTTGTGTTTATAACTCTTCTCCTAAAGGATATTAAAATGAAATGGGCAGAAGCCAAGTGCATTTCAGTGTAAGCCTTTGAGAGGCAGAGCCTGCTGAGCACAGGCGGCCTTGTTTGGAAGTGGCTCCATCTGTAGCCTGAGCTCTGTTGGGTCCAGACACAGCAGAATGGAAGGAGCTCTGTTGGAGCCTTGGGGACAGGGGGTGGGATCCCTGGCTATGTGGACCAGACTCATGAGCATGGGGTGCATTCCCAAGGTGTAATTCCCTATGCACAAATATATAAATCTCCCTGGCCCCCACTTATCCTAGGCTCTCCCCACATTTTTCACAGCAGACATAAAATAGACATTGTGTCTTGATGATGTCTCTTATTTTATATACTTCCACGATCCTCCCATTTCTTAACTCTTCCTCCTCCTTCCTTCTTCCTTCTCAGCTTGCCTCCCTTCTGGGTCCTACCCCACCCCCCAGCTCATTCCATGTCCCCTGGGTGATGGATACTTCTTGGGCCATGTGTGTCCCATGGAGACAGTAAGTCAGACCGGTTCTGGAATACACACACATGCCCAGCCCTGATGGACTCCTATCAGGTAACATAGCCACCTGAGAGAAGCCACAGTCAGGTGTCCTTCACCTTCCTGTGGCCCTCCTCAA